ATATTGAAGCTAATTTATTCAAAATTGATGATTGCAACAATTCTTTACCAAGAAATACGTTTATGACAAAATTTTGGAAAATGGGCGTAGCACCGCCCACTTGTGATCACATATATGTATCTCGCTAACCGTTCTAGCAATTTGTACCAAGCTCGGTATGGTTATTGTGCTTGCCACATAAAAGCAAACCGTTGAAAATTGTTGAAATCGGACTAAAATTGAGGCGCTCTTCATATAACGGTAAATTTCAGATATGCTTGAAACTGCAATATTTCCAAATTTAAGGACGCTAATTTACATAAAATGTATACACCCCGGCTTATCATGTAGCGGTAGCTTTCGGAAAGGTGGAAAACATATATTTAATACTTGCGCCGGGTATTTAATGTTCGGCTCCGCCCGAACTTAGACTTTCTTACTTGTTGGTTTTATTTTTATCTTTGCCTTTATCCTTTTCTTCATTTATATACGTAGTCACCTTTTATAAGAAAATTTTTGTTAAAGTAATACCATATGCATACACACAAGAAGCCCTTGTTTCAGCCCCAACCATTTCCGTTACACCATTTCCGTTGCATACACACAAGAAGTACTTGTTTCAGCCCCAACCACTTCCGTTGCACCATTTCCGTTGCATCACCTCCGTTGCATCATTTCCGTTGCACCATTTCCGTGTGCAATTTCCGCTGAATTTGCCAATTTACTCCCAACCAACAAACCGCCGCTAAAGAAGTTTCACTTCAAAAACTGAGATCAGTATTGCAGGTTATAAAATTGATGAATGGTTATTAATATCAATGTCCAATCGTTATCGTTGCTCTGCCATATTCGTATTTGTATTATGCCTTGTGTTCATAATCGCATTCAAAGCAATTGTTTTCGTACAAAACTCAAAATTCTATTTTGATTTGACATTAGTATGGACTAAAAATTTGGTTTTTTGCGTTCCTTCACTGTTTCCTGCGCTCACTAAAAGAAAATAACAGGAAAAAGTGAAGGAACGCAAAAAACCAAATTTTTAGTCCATACTAATGTCAAATCAAAATAGAATTACATATATGTATGTACAAAACACATTCATCCAAGCACAATTAACGTTTACTATGTATGTATATCAATTATTTTTCGCCCCCTTTCCATTCTCAATTCCCTTTTTTCTAGTTTTTAGATTATTCTCATTTTTCGTTTATTCTCTGATTTCCGTTAATTTAAATTCAGTGACACTTCTCAAGATTTTGCCAGCAAAAATTCTTCTGACTAAATCTGACTACTTCGGACTGAAGAGAGTTACAGTCATTGTACAGTTCCATAGGTAAAGTAACTCTTCTTACCGTTTTTCTGGCAAGCTGTGTTTTTGGTTCAGTGTGTTAGTGTATTTTGAATAAATTGTAATAGAAATTCAAGAAATTGTAATAGAAATGAAAGAAATTGTAAAAGATAAGAGCAAATGCCAAAAAACAGGTGATCTCAGCTGTATGCGGTTTTTGGCAATCAGCTGATGTGTTTTTACTTAGGAAACTGTACGATGGTTACAGTTGCTCTCTGATTTCTGCTGTCTAGTTAAGAAACGCTTTTTTGACTAAATGTGACTACTTCGGACTATTTCTGACTATTTCTGGGAGATAAGGAACGCAGCTATTGATCTGTGGCTTTTGCTTTGCACAACAGTAACTTTAACAGCTGTTGGCGAATTAACTAACGCGCTTCTACGAGAAATGAATGAATTTTTCTTATCAACACTCACGCGCCTATTCTGCAACCCTTTCGTATTAGGATTTTACTATCGTAGAAATAGTATGTTGCAATCCAAATCGTATTTACGAAAGTCGTAACAATGGCGTGCCTAAAAACGAACGGCTAAGAAATTGTTCTCTTTTTTTTGCGTAATTTTGTACGAAAAAAATTCTGTGTCGGAAGTGAGATAAAGGATGTAAATCGATGTGTGTTTGCAGGCAATATTAGTGATGTTCTTTTAAATAGATAAATTTGCCTTTCGCATATATGTAGGTATATTTTTATAAACTGCTTTATATTAACAAACAAAAAAGAATGTTTGGTTTAGTTATTTGTACAAAGATTGTGGGTTGTTGTGTCCAAACGCGCAACGCGAATCTAAGAACTTTAACATGCACGTTTTATCAAAGGATTAAGCTTTAATTTAACATAAATTCCAATTTCCGAGCTCTAGTTTATTAATAAATTAGGTTTGCACTATGCACTTTTTTCCAAATTTCGATGTGGGTTCTGCGTAAAAATGCTGAGGATGGCGTAGCCGGAGCTATGTATATGCACAAGAAATGTTGTATACCTTCGACATGCGGAAGCCCCTCTTCTCCAGCAACACAGAAACGCGAATTCTACTTGGTAAGGGTTCCAATCCCTATGCGCATCCGATGGCAGAAGCAAGAGAGGAACTTGTGGTGGACCTATCAAAGTGCATGTTTTCAATGGCTTGGAAGAAGCTGTTATTGCATTAACTGGATTGAGCACCAGTTCTTAAGGCATTGGAGGAGTTATTGCTTGTGGTTCAACAATTCAACCAGAAGCTGACATAGATGCGTCATGGTTACTATGCCCGCATATCTTTGTGAATTCATTACCATAACGCGCTGTTACTCCGCTGCTATAATGGCAAATGTAATAGAATCCATCGTTTCCTTCAAAATAAAGTAAAGTCAAACAATTCTACTATAAATAAGCACATGACATTTTGACGCTGGAAAATTTTGTTACCAAAAAATTACACCACTTCTTGTAACCGCAATTCTAAGTACATTGGTAACAATTTAATCTATTCAGAAATTCCGCTATGAAGTTTTGTATAAATTCTGGTGTTGCCTACTTCACGGGGCAATATTTTGTTACCAGCTTATGAGATGGTCACACAATTTACCAGTGCGCAGAATGCCAACAATTTTATTCAAATTACCATGAACTTTACTGAACTTACCATGAACTTTTCACTTTGTTTTCCTTCACACAGCTGTCTTCGAAAAAAAAAACTGGATAGCTGGCAATGAATGCTGCACATGTTTCGCAAGGGTTGCAGTATTTGGATTTTCCGTTTTCCTTAACGTAGCTACGAATTACGAATTACGAAAATTCGGGTTCTAGAATGAGGGCGCACAATTGGCGCTTTACTATTTATGTACATAAATATCAATTAGAACTGTTCGAGTTTAGAAACTGCATAATATTTGAAATTAGTTTAGTTGTGGCCCTAATATGGCTATCCCATCGGGTTATTAGTCTACGTTTCTGGAATTTGGTTACGCTCTAACGTTAGTGGGATTTTCGTCCTTAGTTTGTTCTGTGCAAGCTCAGTTCCGTTTGCCAAGTGCGTATTCAATTTTCAATGTGATTAAATTTATTTGAAACAGAAAACACATTAAAATTCTTATAAATGCCTGCCCTAGTCATACCTTCTGTAAAACTTTTGGTTTAACTTGATTTCATAAGAGTTATAAATTCTATGCTACAAAAATTAATTGTATAATTTAAGAGTGTGTACAAGCATTTCATGTCGATTGATTAATATTCAACTGTACGTTTTAGCCTCTGGCTAATTGTCGCTTAAAAAATTATTAACAAATTTGTCCTTAACAAATAATTTGGTGCATAAATCACCATTCAAAATTAATCAAGTGCCAACAACAGCAAATTTTATGCAGCTTATGTCGCTTGGAACTCCATTTTTAATTTAATGTTTTACGTGTTGCCCGCATTGAAACGTGTGCGCAGCGGCACAAAGTTTTAAGCACTAGAACCGCCCACCGGTCATTTACGATATACATACAAATGCAACATACAAATATATAGTACATATAAATGTATGATGTGTGAGCAGCAACTGTTTGGCCGCACGCCAAGATAGCTATCGGTTATATATGGCGCTCTTTAAGTAGCGGGTGTGTATACCAATCAGCGAACCTACTTCTGTTACCACTGGAGTCTCAACGTACGCATGCAAATACATACATAAATATGTACATACATATGTATGTGTAAAAGCTTATGAATTTACATACATATATTCAGTTCCTAAGCGAGCATTCAAAACGCTTAGCTCCACCTTTTATATAAAAAATTATGCATAAAAATATATTTCGTTCTTTTTGCTTGCATATACATGAGGGCTTAATTGAAATTTTCTTTTTTTACAGATTACCATCCAGTTAACAGTTATCCCGGCTATCCGATGAACCCGACAAACGGCATGGACACAGAAGATGTCGAGTCCACTTCCAGCAGCGCAATGTCCAGACTTGGCACACTTTTTTCATTCACATCGCCCGCAGTGAAGAAGCTGTTAGGCTGGAAACAGGGTGACGAGGAAGAGAAATGGGCAGAAAAAGCAGTTGACAGTTTAGTGAAAAAGTTAAAGAAACGCAAAGGCGCAATTGAGGAATTGGAGCGTGCATTATCCTGCCCAGGTCAGCCATCGAAATGCGTAACAATCCCACGTTCGTTAGATGGTCGCTTACAGGTAAGTTTGCTATTCGTCTATTCACCAATATTTGTATTAATTAATATACAACATACATTAATATTAAAAAAATTTTTTCGATTCATAGGTCTCCCATCGCAAAGGGCTGCCACATGTCATCTATTGTCGCGTTTGGCGTTGGCCAGATTTACAATCACATCATGAATTAAAACCTCTAGATATCTGTCAGTACCCATTCAGCGCCAAACAAAAAGAAGTTTGCATCAATCCCTATCACTATAAACGCGTTGAGAGCCCTGTACTGCCGCCGGTGTTGGTACCACGTCATTCAGAATTCGCACCGGGCTATTCCATGCTTCAGTTCAATCAATCGATGTCTGAGCCGCCAATTCCACCCAATGTAAACTACTCTAACAATGGATTCAACAATATGAGCCCTAATAGTCCGCCTCTAACATCAGCTGGTAGTCCTAGCACGGTCAACTCAAACCCTAACTCACCATACGGCAGTTTGGCAGGCACACCGCCACCGGCTTACAGTCCTTCAGAGGATGGTAATTCGAACAATCCAAATGATGGCACACAATTGATCGATGCTCAGATGGGCGATGTGGCCCAGGTGAGCTATTCAGAGCCAGCATTTTGGGCCTCAATTGCCTACTATGAGCTCAATTGCCGGGTGGGTGAAGTATTCCACTGCAATAATAATTCAGTCATCGTCGACGGTTTTACGAATCCATCAAACAATTCGGATCGATGCTGCTTGGGGCAATTAAGCAATGTAAATCGTAACAGTACCATAGAAAATACACGCCGTCACATAGGTATGTAAAGACTGCAAGCAAATATTTTTTATTTTATCAAAGCAAAATAAAAGGAACATAAACAATTATTATATAAACCATATTAAACGCGACGCTAGCAGCATATAACTACGGTTAAATAGAAAGTATTTTATTACAGCTGAAAATATCTAAAAAAAATTATGTTAATTCTTAATGCCTTTCTACTTTGCTTTGCAGGAAAGGGCGTGCACCTTTATTACGTAGCTGGCGAAGTCTATGCCGAATGTCTATCAGACTCGGCTATATTTGTGCAATCGCGAAACTGCAATTATCATCATGGCTTCCATCCGAGTACTGTGTGCAAGATACCGCCAGGTTGTTCTTTGAAGATTTTCAATAATCAAGAGTTTGCTCAACTTTTATCGCAATCAGTGAATAATGGCTTTGAGGCGGTTTACGAATTAACGAAGATGTGCACAATCCGTATGAGTTTTGTAAAGGGCTGGGGCGCTGAATATCATAGACAAGATGTGACTTCCACACCTTGCTGGATAGAAATACATTTGCATGGACCACTACAGTGGTTGGACAAAGTGCTGACGCAAATGGGTTCGCCCCACAACGCCATTAGTTCCGTATCATAAAAGGAAGATGTTGGCATTTGATGACATTTCATACAATAGTAGTCTAATATTTTCATTAATTATGATTTTTTTCATTTAATGAGTGGATTTGTATCGCTTTATTTTTTTTTATTATTACCTTCTCTATATATTAGTTTATTTTAAGTTTTACAATCGATGTGCAAATTTTGATCTTCCCATTAATTATAAATAATTTTTGTTGGTATATTTTATTATAAAAGAAATTCTTTTATGTGGCGTAGGTTTGTCATTCCTATTATATAAATTAAAAATTTAAGTGAGAAAAGTGTCATAGAATCGGTTTAAGTTGAGGACAAAATAGTTAAACACTAACCAAGAAATAATTTTCATGAATTATTCAACGTTTCCTAAAGATTGATTGCCTTAAAATTTATTTTAAAATTTAATTTAATTATTAAGCTGCATGTACCGCTTTTTAGGATAAAAGCGGATAATTTACCATCAACATATTTCTTTAAAGATGTTCTACATTATGTTTATTATTATTTTTTTGAACTTTTCTATACCTGTAATGAATTACTACAACGTTTTTGTGGACAGCTTTTATAACGATTTGTTTTCAGATATCATAAAGTACATAAAACACGTGAATGTTTTAAAATATTTCGTGATTATGCTCTTCACATCGGAACAGATTAGTAGCCGTATATAATTTTGGATAACTGATTGTTTGCATCGAAACTTTGCTTTGTACTATTACGACATAAAAATGAGCGAACATAGAAATAGGATGAAACCTCTCTATTATTTTGGTTTCTTTTAGATATGAAATGCATCCACCCAAAAGTACATTTAAAATATTTTTACAATATTACAAAACCACCAATTTAGGATAATTTTCAAAATCGTTTTTGTTTGCCAAGAAAAACGAGTATGCAACCGTTTTCATTGTATTGTCTAAAAATAAAAGTTTATTATTTCAAATTAAATACGTATGTATTTGTTGTTTTATTTCTTCAATTTATAAAACTATAATTACGAATTTCAAAGCCTTTGGGGGAAATCGTCATAATTTTGATATGTATGTAAAAAGATAAAAATGAATAGTAAATTTTCTGTGAAATTTAAAGCAAAAAATTAAAAAAAAAAAATAAAACTAACTCGGAACATTTTAGATATAATTTAGTAATAGAATACTAGTTTAAAAAAACAGTTTATGTATTTACATGCTATTGTGCCTAGTTATGCATATACACACATTACCTAAACAAATAGTCACACAAAAGAAAAAATAAAGAAATAATCGTTTGCTGCTTACAGCTAATCAGTGCTTTGAAACATGCCTTAAATCGCTTAAACTAAACAATCATTCATGTACATAACGTAATCAAAATTAGCCTTGTAAAATGTTCAAAAACGAATAACGCAAAGAAATTTTAAATTATCTTCAAGTGCTTGAAGTAGTCCAACAATAAGCGCAGAACCATGCCAATAACCGCTAAAGTTCAAATTGCCTTAAAGTTTATTCGAATTTTTTGAAAAGATTTTTTTTACTTACATATGTATATTTGACAATGCTTAAACCCAACAAAAAATATGTATATACATACGAACATTAAATATTTTGAGAATTTGCTGTGTATTTTAGCTGTTCGTGTAATTATGATTTAATCGGCTTTATATTTTGCTAACCTATACGCATTAATAATAACGCTATTGTAACATGCATTGTAGTAAATAAAAATGTAATAGATGGTTAATATAAAATTTATTTCGAATAAAGTTCAACAGATTTCCAGCCAAAACATGGAGAATGACTTTCCTGTTTGTATGAATGAGTGTGATATGAACATGTAACTAATCTAGGCTATCGGTGAAACCATCGTAGTGTGATTTTCGTAAAAAGTACGAAAGCGCGATCACTGAATCCGAATTGCTACGAACGTATGTACCAGGGATGGAATTTCAGAATTTCAAAATGTGCCTCATGGTATTCTAAAATAGTGACGAAAAGAAGATGAAAGTACCACAAAATTAATATTCTTTTAAGGTGTTTTAAGGACAATATATTATATACTGATATATTGAAAATAATATTTTTAAAATACACTGAAGTAAATGATAACTATTAATTATCTAAATTATTGCAGTAAATCACTTTTATGAAGCATTCCTTAGACATACATATACATAAATTCATAGATAGTAAAATTACACAGAATTCCACTTACGGAGGGAAAATACACCGAAATATAGCTATTCTGACATCTTTACACACATACATATGTATGTACCTATATGCGAAATAATGGCAGTGAGACATTTTGACCAGTTTCGCCTATTCTTTTAATTGATTATTTTTTGATTGATTTTATATTAAAGTCTAATTAATAATTTAATAAACACAATATATGTACAAAAATCGGCATTTCAAACCTTGTACAAAATTATAAAAATTCAGCAGGTTTTCGCAACAAAAAATTTTGATTTTTTTTCATGTAAAGTGAGTTCGAAAATTTTTTGAATGGATGCAAATGTATGACACCATCAGAAAAAAAATATTAAAAATCATCGGGATATTGCAGAAACTTGCACTTTCATTTAATGGACTATAAAACTGCAAAATTGCAATCTTTCTAAAAATTCTGGATTAAAAGCTTGTTTTTGCGAGAACTTACTTTTCATACTGCGTATTCACAATAGAATTCAGCAGTTTGTAAATATTTCCCACGGCACTTATTTTAATTTTTTAGTGCTTTCAATTTTCACTCTTCTGTAATTTTTTAATCTATAATGTGATATGTGATTTTTTGTTATGTATTAGCATTTTATGCTAAATTTTTATATTTGATGATTGTGCCAAAAGAGGATGAATTGGGCCAAAAGTGCCTCTGAGAATGAAAGTGCCAAAAATAGCACTATTGTGCCTACTTTTCCATCACTGGTGTGCACTCAAGTGTATGCTTCGTTCGTAGCTATTCGGATTCGGTGATAGCATTTTGGTAGATTTCACGGAAATCGGACTACGATGACTTTGGTGATAGTTGGTAGCCGAGTGGTGGGCCGCTTGCTCGATCTCCATTGAGCTAACGCCCCTGTCCCTCTGGACAGACCCTGTTGAAGTTGGGCACTTCCTGGAGCCTCCCCTTAGCTGAACCAGACGACAACGTTGATGGATGAAGCGACTTGAGCGGGGTTGAGTAGCTGCTACAAAAACAATCCCTGCTCAATTTCTGTAACGGATAATGTCCAAAAAAAGTGTTTTTCTTCAGCCGATTAAAAAGGCTTCTGATAAAAGCCATGTGACGTTCGGAGTTGGCGCACATCTATAACTACACTTTTTGTGTAATGTTATCAAGGTAAGCACTTTAAATTGGAGGAGAAGCCTTGGCAAACACTTATGTACATACATAAGTGAAATGTGAGCAGCAAATTATTTACGAACTTTAGACCCCCACATACTCGAATAATGCATAGTCAAGTCAAGAACCTTTTATGAATCAAAACCCCAAATTAATCATATCAGTATATGTAGGTTTTTATGTAAAAATTTATATATATAAGTATATATTATAATAAATGGTCGTAAGTAAAATTTTACATAAATTGGTTCTTTAAAAAAATCGTTAGTTCACCCCAGGTTATCGACTACAAATGTAAATTTTAAGATATTAGAAAATGCGCTTTAAATTATTTGGTTTATTCACTATTTACAGCCTCGGCTAAAATTTAGTACAGAAATGCCCTAACTCATTTTCTTCCTAAATTCAACTTTTTACAAAGGTCAGTAGATTACTCCCTAAAGAACTAATCCAATTTGAAAGCACCTACATCAATAAATTAGTTTCACACCCCTATTGCGAGTGTCGACTAGTAGTAGGTGAACGACTATTATTCCATTATCACTTTTCCATGGAATTGTGAATATCGATTTTTGTTCAATAAGCGACTGTGAATAGTTTTTAGTCGCTAATCTTTCAACAGTTTGTTTGTAGAAGGATGATCGCCTATAATTTATTCACACTAACTTTTTTGTAGAACGCCGTTCTGAATACAATTAACAAGAAGCTTGCAACTGTACTTTTAAAATTGAAGCCTGAGCTTTTTTGGAAAAGATTTTATTGAATGTACTCATAGCGTCGCTAATGTAAACATTGACAGAAAGTTTAAAGGAAAAGTTACATATTTTTTTAAATAAATATATTGAAACTTAATGGAGGTGGTAGGGGTCATTATCTTCAAATGGCTTGACTACATTTTGACAGTTCAGCCTTAAAGTGTTGACGCCGAAATATGTTTTTCATCAGTAGGTTTTGTATGTAAAAACTTCAGGTCAATAAAGGGGTTACCGAGATATACCTTTGTAGTCACAAAGTGGGCGGTACAACGCCCAATTCCTAAAAGCCTATAACGGTCTTATTTATTGTTTAGAGGTTGTTGCAAGTATTAACTTGGAGCAAATTAGTGCCCTCAGTTTTTGAAATATCGGAGTTTTCGTATTTTTGAAATTTTAGTCCGATTTGAATAATTTTCAACAAATTGCTTTTATGTCCCAAGGTTATAAGGCACACCAATTTTGGTTGAACTTGATGAACCGGTTACCGCGATAAACATTTGTGGTCATAAGTGGGCGGCGCCACGCCCATTATCCCATAATTTATAATTATCAAATTTCCTGCTAGGTGATTATTGCAACCGTCGATTTTGAGTGAATCAGCCTCAACAATTACTTGAACAATGGCTTGAAGCAAAGGGAAATTTCGCTTGGTTTGTCAAACCGCTTGTGTGGTGTATTTCGCTCTTAATTTACCGTAGTTTTCGTGTTTCTATAAATTACCGTTATATGAGAGATTTTCAACACATTTCTTAGTTAGACCCGGCTCGGACCGAGTTCGGTAGGGATTGGAGAAGCGGCTACTGAGATACAGCATTTCATCATAAGCAGGCGGGGTCACGCCCATTTTCCAAAAATTTCATAATAGTAATATTTTTTTTACCATAATTTCACTTTACATACTAATTTTCAACAGTTTCGATTGAATATTTACTGAAATATCGTAGAGTTTGCCTCTGTCGAAAATATCTCAATTTTTGCTTGAGTTTTCGTGTACACGGACGGACGGACAGACAGACGTGGCTTAATCGACTTCTCCTTTTATTCTGATCATTTATGTATACATTTGTCTTCCGTTACGTGAGCAAAATTATAATACCCTTGTGCACATGTGCGCTCGGGTATAAAAATGTATTACTCTAAAATTTGCCTGTATTAATAAATATGTGATTTTTACAATCAGTTTGTCGTAAATTTTAAACAGTTTCATTTCATGGTTTATTTAAATGCGTGCAGTTATTGAATTTCATATAATATTCATAAAAATTACTCTTCAATGTGTATCCTTAAAAAATATCCCGAAATCCCGGGATCATAATTTTTCGCACACGCATTTTGGCATCTCTAATATATACCACTGAGTGTTGGTCAATAAATGCAAGAGGAATAAGGTAAAATATATTCACCCGATAAAAGTAAGTAAAAGCGAAGGAATCATTGGCCATACAACTACAATTACTTATTAAACCACTCACTAAAACTTTATATCAATCTTTATTCTGTCGAAGGCCAGCCATTTTTGGTCAGAAGCCGAAGTAGTTTATTCGTTTTCTAATAAAATCTAAATTTATTATTGAAAAAGGTTATTTAGTTGGTACTAAATTCCATTTATTATATTACCAGATTACTAATTCGGCCGGAATAGGGTTAATCTCATAAGAATTTTTTTGCAATTTTTAAACGCTATTTGCGCTTTTTAACACTGTCTCCAAAATATCTCAAACTAAAAGCCATTGTGGAAGAATACAATAATAATATACAATATGCGCGTTCCTTATCTCCCAGAAATAGTCAGAAAAAGTCCGAAGTAGTCAGATTTAGTCCAAAAAGCGTTCCTTAACTCGGAAATGACAGCAAAAATGAGAGAGCAACAGTCAGTGA